ATTTCCTTAGCTGTTTTGATTTTTTCCTTAATCATTCGTTGTATTTCTTTATACTTCTGTAGATCTTTTTATACTTAGGAAGCGTAAAAAGATTATCAGGTTAATTGAACCCACTTCTATGTCACAAAGAGATATTGCAAGAACGTGTGCATTGAACTAAGGTGTAGTAAGAAAGATTTTGAAGCGTAAACGAGAAATGGTATCAATAGATGTTAAAAAGTTATAAAAATACGGAAGAAAGAGAAAAACAAGGAGATGAAAGATTTTTACTTCAAAAGTGTAAATTAGACCCAAGAAAAACAAGCAAAGAGCTCCAACAAGATTTAGCAGCATCGGTTAGAGTAATTTATGACTCAACTGCCCGGAAAAGTTTTTTGATGAATATTAGATTGCATCCATAGAGAAAAACAGCTTCAAACTGAACAAATAAAGAAATAAAGGCTATTGTGGGCCGAAAAATATTCTAATTGAATAGTAGACTCTATTCCATACGCTCTGATGTTCGTGGGTTGTAACTCCGTTTTGCTGATAACCATAAGTTTTGTCTTAGAAGTATTAAGTTTTAGCCCATACACATGCTTTTGTTCATCACATGCTTGGGTTACCCTGTTTATAGGCCATTGCAGGTCTTCTTCATTGAAGGCAATAAGTACCGTGTCATCTGCATATCTGAGAGTCTATCTAATTAGCCTTCTTCGGTCCATCTTTGGACATAGGCCTCCCCAATCCTTTTCCATTCTTCTCTGTCTGTCGCAACAGTCATCCATCTAGAGCCCACGTGCTTCTTGATATCATCTGCCCATCTCATTTGGGGCCTTCCTCTGCTTCGTTTATATTCCCACGGTCTCCAACTTATAAGAATTTTGTTCCATCGGTCTTTGTCCCTTTCTAAAATCAGCTTGTTCTTTCTACTGGTATCCATCGAATTTTGTCGTCAATCTATTGGTTAAAATTTTTGTTAGGAGTTTATACATTACATTGAGGAGTGTTATAGGACGGTATTTTTTTATATCTGCTTTATCCCCCTTCTTGTGTAGGATAATGGTTACTGATTCCTTCCAGTTGTTTGGGATTCTTTTTTCTTTTAATATCTTGTTAAAAAGGGAATGTAGAGTATTAATTACCACTTTTACACCATATTTCAGCATCTCTGCAGTTATTCTATCTTTTCCAGGCGATTTGTTGTTTTTCAGTTCTTTCAATGCCTTCTTTATTTCTGATTTGCATATTTCGGGCTGCAGCTCTGAGTTGACATTTTTTATTTTGACCTTAAGTTGGTTTTTAATTTCTTCTGGTGGTTCCTTTTTTGTTTTATATAATTCTGAGTAAAAATGGTGGATTATATTTATGATGTCATCCTTAACGTTTGGTTCTATTCCATTTACATCTTTTATTTTGTTTATTTCAAACTTACCTAATTTCGGCCTTAAGCATTTCATTTTTTTTGTTGTTTTGTATTACTTCTTCTATTTTTATTTCTTGTTCTTTTCTCTTATTTTCTTTTATCATTCTGCTTATTGCTTTATTAATTTCTACATATTCTATAGATTTCCTTTTGCCTTCTTCGTTCAGCTTCCTTCTTTTATCCATAAGCTTCTTTGTTTCTGTTGATATATAGTTGTTCTTTTTTAGATCCTTCTTTGCTATTTCTTTTCCTGATGTAATCATTGTTGCTGTAAGTATGTTATCTATTTCGTCTATATCTTTATCGTCACTATCTAATCTTTGGGTAAGTTGTTCTTTTAATAGGTCTTTGTATATCTCTTTATATTGCCCTAGTTTGTTTCTATCTACTAGATACCAGTTTCTACTTATTTTTCTTTTCATCTCATAGTTACCGTCAATACTAATTTTTGCTCTGACTATCCTGTGATCGCTACCTGTTGTGAATCTGTTAAGAACTGTTACATCTTTAATGATATATCGTTCCGTGGACAGTATGAAGTCGATCTCATTTTTTGTGGATCCATTACGGCTGATCCATGTCCACTTTCGTTGGTGCTTCTTTTTGTAAAAGGAGTTCATTGCGTATAGATGCTTTTCTTCTAGGTATTTCATCAAAGTATCACCTCTATCATTTCTCTGACCATACCCGAAATCTCCTATTTTAGTTTCTTCTTTGTTTAGTTTTTTACCCAGTTTGGCATTGAAATCTCCAATTACTAGTGTAAGATGATTTTTATGTTCTTCCACAGCCTTTGATATATCTTCATAAAATAGTTTGATATTTTCTTCATCATAAGCTGTCGTGGGCGCATATACCTGGATAATTTTAATTGATGTTCTTCTTATTTTAAGTATGACATAGGTCTATGTCATATGCCTATGTCATACCTATGTCATATCTGAGAGTGTTGACATTAATTCCATTGATTTTAATTTATGTATCTTCAACTTCTCCTGTAGGCTTCTTTGAAAATAAATTCGGAGTAGATTTTAAAAAGTAGAGGCGATAGAATACGTCCTTGCCTCACTCCACGTCGTATTTCCACTGCTTCCGTCGTGTTGTGTCCAGCTCGAATGTTTGCACATTGATGCCAGTACAACTTTTTGATAATACGGAGTTCTCGGTCATCAATTCTCACCTGTTGCAAGACACCTAAAAGTTTGTCATGGTTTACTAGGTCAAAGGCCTTTTCGAAGTCGATAAAATACATATATACTAATTGTTCTGTATCCCTACATCTTTGAACCATGACCTGTAAACTGAAGAGTGCTTCTCGGGTTCCAAGGTTGTTTCTGAAACCAAATTGTGTTTGACTTCTGTTTGTTTGTTTGTTTGTTTGTTTGACTTCTAACTTGTACTTCTATTTTGTTGTAGATTCTTGAGTGCAGTATTCTTAGGAAAATTTTCACAGCTACACTGTTTAGCATTTATTTTTTTCGGTATCATTACAAATGTTGGCAGTAGCCAGTCTGTTGGTATATATCATGTTTCGTATATTTCCTTAAAGAGGCTTAAAAAAGAATGTTTTCTCTTATCGTCGAGCAGTTTGATTATTTAACTTGGAATTCCATCTGGACCGGTTGCTTTACTATTCTTTGATAGCTTTATAGCTTTCCATTTCATCGAGTGTTATGTTTGGACCAGTCGATACATTTTTGATTTTAATTTGTGTTCTATCGTCATCAAACAGCCCCTTAATATATTCTTTCCACCTCTCTAATCTGTCTTGTTCATTGACTATAATATTTCCTTGTTTATCAAGTAATCTATTTGCAGTTGATCTATATGTTCCAGTTATTTTTTTCACGTGTTCTTTCATATATTCCAGCTATTTTTTGTGCATATTAAACATGTCATTCTTTTTCAGCAGTTCTTCTATTTCAAGACATTTGTTGCTGTACCATTTTTCCTTTGCATCCCGGATTTTTCTTCTGATTTCTTTATGAATTTGATGCCTGCTTTTTATTAGTCTGGGCAGCCTATGGCAAGCTAAAAGACGTGTTTAAGGAAAACATCCCAATAAAGCTAAAGAGAAAAGCATTTAACCAGTGCGTACTTCCGGTGCTCACTTATGGAGCTGAAACACTGACATTGACTAAAGCATCAATAAAAAAGTTACAAGTAGCACAACGAAAAATGGAAAGATCTATGCTTGGCGTAACTTTGAGAGACCGAATACAAAATGATGAGATACGGCGAAGAACTGGAGTGGAAGACGTTATAAAACGGATTACGAAGTTGAAGTGGAAATGGTCAGGACACGTCGCAAGACAGAGAGACAACGGATGGACAAAGAAGATTTTAGAATGGCGGCCAAGGGCAGACAAGCGAAATCGTGGAAGACCACCTACCAGATGGACGGACGACATTAAAAAATAGTGACAAACTGGATCGCAGCTGCACAGGACAGAGAAGAGTGGAGACATCTTGAGGAGGCCTATGTTCGACAGTGGACAAATTTGGCTGTGTGATGATGATGATGATTTCATTAGTCCCAATATTTCATCAGTCATCCAATGTTGTGGGAAAGAGTGGGAAAATATTTGTGGATAAATACCTATAACTTTGGTTTGGATCAACAGATTTTAACGAAATTAGTGTAATTAGAAAGAGTGTGTATGATTTAATTTAATTTACATCTACTATAAAACAACTGCTTTAGTTTTAATTGTCATGGGTAGAGGGTACTTTCGAATAAAAAAAATTAAAATTTGTTTTTCTTCAAAATGTTTAATGGAAACACCTATTTATTGTAAATTATAATGGAACTGGATTAAATTCGTAACAAAATGGCGCAAATTGTATGTTGATAGCTTTTGTCGAACTCGAGATATAAATAAAAACGCATAAACATACACTTGAAAGTTATTTCCAGCGATTTCTCTTGGAAACTTTTACTAAGGAATTTTTTTCCTAAAATTATAACATGAATAATTTTTGATATATAGCCGAGAGATCGGCTTATTGGACCACCCGGTACAATGAATCCGACGCAATTCCGGTGGTTGGTGCCTTCTTCTCCGGAATAGAATATATCGTGGTCATTTATGTTACATTTACTATAGAAAATGAAATACACTAAAAACATTCTTTGGTGTTTTAATACATATACGAGGGGATTTCAATATGTACCAAATTTATAAATGCTACAAATGTTCGGAAAAAATACTTCGTTGTAGTAATAAAATTGGTTTTAAAACTTTACCCTATGGAAAATAAACAATTAATCTCAAAAATCGACTTTTTGCATTGATGACGGTTTGATTTCACATCGAAAATATCGTCAGTGTACAGCAATATTACATCAGACATAAAATTATCTGTACTTCAATTAAAATTTTGTTAAAAAATATTAAAAATTATTCATTCAGGTGTTCAATATAAAATAATGATTTTTGTTTATTGAAAGATAATCTAAAAATAGTGAAAAAATACTTAATGGAATCACATGATCAAGTACTTGAGTGATTAAGTTGTTATACATAAGGACATTTTGATAACAAGCAGGTGATCTAGAATTATATATAGTAATCAAAAATTAGCAAATGAAATTATTGTATTAAGATGTACGCTAAGTTTTTGGTTGTATTAGTGATAGCTGCTCTAGCTAGCAGTGAAATTGTAAGGTAATTCAGCGATTTTTATTGCTATTATATGTACTTGATCATTATATTGTATAGCTAGTTATTGGTTCAGATTTACTTTTTCGAATTTAAGTATTATGTAAAACAAATATTTTCGTGGAACCGGTTCTGAACTTTCAGGTAGACAAGTCGAAATACTTTGATCTCCACTATATTTATAGTTTTTGAGAAGAAACAGTGTAAATTTAAATAATAAACCGAAATATAAAGCAGTGTGCAGTGGTCTGTTATTAGCTGGAAGTACAGTTTCCAAATTGGCAGTAGTTTGATTATCAACATTGTTCTAAATACATACGAACAACATTATTTATATTTCGTATTTATTAATTATTTAAAAAACTAGTTTCATCTCTTGGCATATTTTGCTAATTGCTAGATCGACTATTTACTTTTAAATAAACAGAGTAGGATCTATCCAATTTAAAATTATTGAAATGAAAGTTCAATTTAAATTTAAAAAAAGATCATCATCATCATTTTGGCTTTACAACCCTGTGTGGGTCCTAGCCTCCCCAAGAATTCTCTTCCAGTCGCCCCTATCCATCGCTTTCCTTCGCCAAGCACGTATTTCCATATTTCTCATATCTTGGTCTATGTTATCTAGGAATCTTGTTCTGGGTCTTCCTCTTCTTCTTTGACCAATAGGTCTTAAATAAATTACTATTTAACTGGGAATAAGTCACAATTAAAGATAAAAATACGTTTATTGACGTTTCAATTTCCACTTCGGAAATCGTTCTCAAAATACAAACAGTAAATTAAATAAATTTTGTTTTTTGTTACATAGTGAAAAATTCGTCTAATAATTTAATTTTATCTGACTCATTTATATTGACAATTCAGACATACATTATGCATTTTAAAGTAGACGACTTTAAAATGATATTGCCAATATTGTTGAGTTACGCTCCTGGGACCACTTTACTTATAAGATAGTTCATTCGATTACATGAAAAACAACTTTAACTTGAGAATATCCGTCAGAAAAAAAAATCATAGCATGTAATTCGTCTTTAAAAAGACAAACACATGACATGATGACAGTAAAATTCTCCTGTTAGTGATTCCATAGTAAATTATGAGGGAAAAACCAGGAAAAAAACCTTATAATACTATCCCGATATTGTAAGTATTTTTCGTGAATTTAGTTTACCTTCAACAAACATCAAAATTCTGATTTTATATGTTACGTTATTTAAAAAACATAAACGATGGATCCTCTATATGTTACTGACTTACTAATACTGGTATTTTCTTATTAATAACTTCCTCTTTCAATATTGGTAACCAGATCCTACTACATTCTGCCGAGGAATTTGCGACACAATTTGCCTCATTTAGCATAATTAGAGCCGCTTCTTTGATTTTTCTTTTTTTACCATCCGTTTCTTTTAGAACTACATTTGAATTATTCCATTGAACCCTATGTTCATTATTGCATGCGTGTTTACATATTTGAGATCTATCAAATTCTCTATTTTTAATATAAGATTGATGTTTACTTATTCTAACATTTAATGGCCTTGATGATTCACCTAAATAAAACTAATCGCATTCACAAGGTATTTTATAAATGTAATTATTTGTCCTTTCTTGTTCATTGTTAGGTTTGGTTTTGGACAAAATAGATCTCAACGTGTTTGTTGTTTTGAATTTTGTTGAAATGTTGAATTTATTTCCTATCCTTTTAAGTTTTTCTGATAATCCTTTTTGTACGGTATTGTTATTTTCATTATATTATTCCTTGTGTATGCTGTAGGATCTCGTTCTAAGTTGTTCTGTTCTATTCGATCGATTGTTGAAAATTCCTTATTTATAAACGATAAAGGATAATCATTTTTTAATAAAACAGATGTTAACAAATATTTTTCCTCCAAGAACGAATTTTCGTTAGAACAAGTAATTTTGGCTCTATCGTATAAGGATTTAATTATTCCCTTTTTTACATTAATATTGTGATTTGATTTGAAATTTAAATATCTATTGGTGTGTGTTGGTTTTCTATACACCTGAGTCTCATATCCAGTATCGTTCTTAGAGATTAAAACATCCAGGAAAGGTAGCGTGTTATTATATTCCTTTTCCATGGTAAATGTTATTGTCTCTTCTTTATCGTTTATATCATTTAGGAATGTGACCAACAACTCTGATCCATGAGGCCATATTGAGAATACATCATCTACATACCTCCACCATACTGTGGGTTTGAAATTTTGTTTAGAAATGATATTTGTTTCAAAATCTTCCATACATATATCGGCTAAGAATGGAGATTAACTAGAACCCATTGCTAGACCAAAATTTTGTTTATAGAATTCATTATTTAGTTGAAAATATGTATTGTCAGTACATAATGTTAATAACTCCATTATAGCCGATATGTTTAGTCTTGTTCTAGTTGCCAATGAATCATCACTCTCTAATTTTTTCTTGACTATACTTAAAGTCTTATTTAATGGCACATTCGTAAATAAACTATTTATGTCAAAACTTACCAAAGTATTATTTGAATTAAATTCAATATTTGATAATTTATTTAAAATATGTTGTGTATTTTTTATGAATCTGTCATTTTTATTTGTAAATGGTTTTAAAATATTTAATAAAAATTTTGATAGTTCACTACAAGGAGAATTCATGGTACTACAAATGGTCTAAGTGGTATATTCGTTTTATGAATTTTCGGTACTCCATAAAAATGAGGAGTCTTACTGTAATGAGGTGTAATTAATCCTCTCTGATAACTTGTTAAAACATCTTTAAACTTGAATAAAGTTCTATATATTTTGTTTTCCAAAGGCTTTGTTGGATCTTTGTTAATTTTGTATAAAGTCCGTTTATTAATAGATCTTTAATTTTATTTCCGTATTGAATAATTAATATTAAGGTCTTAAATAGGTTTTAAAAAAAGATAGAAGATTAAATTTGACCAAATGACAGGTGCTACTTCTGACTACAGGGGTCCATTAATTAATCCCGATTAGTAAAACATTACTTATTCTACCATCACTAAGCAACAACCATTAACAAAATTCCCAACAAAAACCAGGCCATAATTTTACCGGCAGTAGATGAAATAAAAACAGAAGAGTACACTATTGCATTAGGAACTATAGTCCATCCAAAAAATGTACTGGTCTTAGCCAAAATGTCAAACGGAAGAATATGCATCTGTCTTTCAAGCATACAAGTCGTAGATTATTTTAAAAGTCAACATGGAAATTAAAATTGGAGAACATACAATCAAAGCACGTAAACTAATTACACCCGCTTATAGATTAGTTTAAATCAACGAAATTAAATTAATGTCTCCGATTTCGTTCCTTAGAGCTGGAATACAAGACCCGCAATACAGTCATGTACTTAGTTTTCGAAGACAAGTTTACTGTGCACCACTAGACAATTTTACTGTACCCGATTCCGTCCTAATTGATTTTGAAAATATTTCGTACCGAATTTTTCTTTCCGATAAACTAACTTGTTACAAGTGGCACGAAGCTGGTCACGTTTTCTCGGACTGTGCCTTAAATCCCTCTTTTCCACAAAATACTCAAAAGCTCCAAACGGAGAAAAATTTTCTTCCACAAATACGATCCACTAGCGCCAAACAAAATCAAATTACATATTATGTAAATGACGAATCTCTAGAAGAAATGGACGCTTTAGTCAGCACTGATACAGTACAGCACAGACGATTACTGTCAGTTTTAGTTAATAATGTAAATGGTGAACAAATGCCAAAATCACAGCATTCTACATTTAAATATTTAAATTTAATAAAATCTACATATTTTCACTATTTGATGTATTTAAGACCTTCCAGACTATATAAAATCATAAGTGTTACATATGGTTGAAGTCGTATTGAAGCAGAGATTCCAATAATGACTCAATATACAGGGTGATGAATTTTAAAAACCAAAGTTACTAATAATATAAGAGAAACGGCAAATTTAGCAACGTTGCAATATCAAATGTGAAATCTCTGTATCTCAAAATAGGTGTACCTTAAATTTTGTAAAATTATGACTAGCAATTTACGAGATAATTGATCGTTTCCAGATTTATGGGCCACTCTGTATTTACATAAGTTGGGATTAAATATATTAGACCAAAATAAAGGTTATCCTTTATAGATGTTATTTAATCCATTGCTGAAAAACATTGTTACAATGTTATTCATATTAGGTGTCGTTATATTTCTAATACTAGCGCATTTTTGTAGAATTCCTTTGAAGAAACAGCAAAATAATGGAGGAAGAAGAATACGTAATGTCGCAAGAAACAGACTACGCAGTAAATTTGGAAGTCGAGGTGTAGTGCCTTTAGTCAATGAATACGATGTAAGTTTTTTGATCCTATATATAATATTTTTGCGGTTTAGACTAAGCGTCAATTTAAGGTTGGCTATCAAATTACTATAGCCAATGTGATAGTCAACGCTCGATAATCGAGCACAGCACATGAAGAAGAGAGTATTAACTATAATGTTATTGATACTGGGTCAATTTTTGTTACTATACATATTACATTTCATTGGGTATAATTTTCAATAAAGAGAAAGTAATAAAAAAGAAGTAAGAATATATTAAACGGTTAATAATTCACGACACCTTTCACAAACAGGTGATTTCTCAGACGATATTAGGTATCCATGTGTCAGCCGTGTGTGACCAATTTTTAGCCTGCAATTAATTTTTTTCTTGTGGTAGGTTGTGTTTTGTATAATTTCGAGGTTGAATTCTTCCATTGGTTGCCAGGACTTTTTAATTTGGGATCTGAAAAATGGTTTTAGATCTGATGATAGTTGAACAGATTTGATGTCTGATTTTATTGTTATTGCTTCTTTTGCAGCAGTATCGGCAGTTTTATTACCTAAAATGCTAACGTGTAAAGGAATCCAGATTAAACATTAATCTGGATTCCTTTATGTTTGTTCCAGAATAAGTTGCTTCATGTATTCTTCTTCTGGTTCTTATCCGTTTCGGATGTTGGAAATCATATTGGCAATCATAACCTTGCTCGCTGCGGCTCGAAACAGCTCCGTTGAGGTTTTCTTAAACCATGTTCTTAAATTACGCAGCCATAATATTCTCCTTCTACCGGGTTCCTCGCTTACCTTTGACTTTACCTTGCAATAAAGACTGTAGCAGGGAGTAACGGTGCTGATTTCTCATAACGTGTCCCAGATATTGCAATTTTATGCGTTTGATCGTAAACACAATCTCTGGTTCCTTCTTCATTTTTCCCAGAACTTCCTTGTTCGTGATCCTTGCTCTCCATAATATTCTCAGCATTCTTCTATAAAGCCACATCTCGAATGCTTCAAGTTTGTTAATAGTGGTGTCTGTAAGCGTCCATGTCTCCGCCCCGTACAACAACACAGAGAAAACATAGCACCTCAAATGTCTCATTTTTGTATCAAGAGATATGTTGTGAGTTTTGAAGATGGCGCTCATTTTGTTAAAGACCGTTCTTGCCTTTCCTATGCGGCACTTTATTTCCTGTAAATTGCTCCACTGTTCGTTAATAATAGTTCCCAGGTAACAACACTGTTTTACTCGCTCTATTTGCGTCCCATTAATGTATAGATGAGCCCCGTTTATATTCTCCTTGCTGATAATCACTTGTTTCGTTTTGTGGGTATTAATGTTTAGTCCGTACTGTTGACTGTAGTTGTTTATTCTGACCATTAGCCTCTGAAGTCCTTCTAAACTATCTGCTATCACCATGGTATCGTCGGCATATCTAACATTGTTTACTCTTTCACCATTTAGAAGGATGCCTTCGTCTATTCCGTAAAGAGCCCCGTTAAAAATTTTCTCTGAGTACATATTAAATATCAACGGCGATAGGATACATCCCTGTCTAAGTACACGTAGTATTTTTATGTGATCTGTTTCTTCTCCGTTAATTTTCATGTATGCGGTCTGATTCCAGTAGAGTTTTGAAATTATTCTGAGGTCTTTGTCATCCAGGTCTGCCTCTTTCAAAATGTTTATCATCTTTTGATGTTGAACTCTGTCAAATGCCTTTTCATAGTCGATCAAGCACGCGTATACGTCACAATTAACGTCCCTGCATCTTTGAATCAGTACCTGTACTCCGAAAAGCGCCTCTCTGGTACCCACTGCGTTAATGAAGCCAAACTGTCTGTCCGATATTTGTTCCTCGCACTTCTTATAAATTCTTCCATGGATGACTCTAAGAAACAGTTTCAACATATGGCTCATTAGGCTGATTGTTCGATATTCTTCGCACTTTTTAGCCCCCTGTTTTTTAGGTATCGCTATGAATTCTGATTCTAGCCATTTATCAGGGATGATTTCTGTATTGTATATTTTATTGAAGGCAGCCGTGATCCAAATAATTCCTTCTTCCTCCAAGAGTTTTAAAAATTTAGCTTCGATATTGTCAGGCCCTACAGCTTTCCTGCTTTTCATCCGTTTTATTGCTTTTTCTACCTCAGATTTAAGTATGTCCGGGCCCGTCATCCTCTCTGAAAATGGATGCCTATAATCCGTTCTTTGATCTTGAAAAAGTGTCTCCAAATATATTCTCCATTTGTCTTTCATCTCTTGGGTGTCAATGATTAATTTTCCATTGGTGTCTATGAGTTTCATTTGTGTTCGCTTTTTAAAACTACCCGTTATTTCATTGACCTTTTTGTGTACATTAAAATTGTCATGCTTGGCTTGTAGTCTTTCTATTTCTGTACATTTCTCTACAGCTTCTTTTTCTTTAGCTTCTCTTATTTTTCTTCTGATGTAAGCCTGCATTTTTTTATACTCATCTTTATTTCCTTTAATTAACCTTCTGCGTTCCATTAAGTGAAGGATTTCTGGAGCCATCCAAGATTTCTTCTTTGTATGGCTTCATGTATGGCATGAACTAATGGATGTTAGAAATATATATCTTTAATCGATTCGATGGAGAACCAGATCTGAGCAAACAACTAATAAAACTAATTCAAAAAATAATAGAAGAAAACAGAATTCCTCAAGAATAAAGATCATGCACCCTAATACCTCTCTTCAAAAAAGAAGACAAATCGGACCCGGAAAAATACAGAGAAATTAATTTATTAAACACAAGACAGAAAAACAACCAAAGTGATAACAAATATATTGAATGAAATTATAACACTAGCAGAAGAACAACAAGGTTTTAGGTCGGGAAGATTATGCACCGACGCTGTATTTATAATGAGGCAAGTGCAAGAGAAATCATTAAAATACAACAAATCGGCATATCTATATTTCGTGGACCTTACAAGGGCATTTGACCAGGTCAAATGAAAAGACGTTATCCACTTACTGTATGCAGGAGAGATACCTTTAGGAATAATCAAAACGATCGAAAATATCTACCAAAACAATACAATAAAAGTAAAAGTATAAGAAGAACTAACCGATCCTATTGAAGCTGGCAATGGGAAAAGACGGCGATTCCCTGAGTCCTCTATTGTTCAACCTGATTATAGATGAAATAATAAAAAAGTAATAAAAAAGTATCCTAAAAAAGGATACCAAATGGGAGAAAAACAACTTAAAATAATCCACTATTCACACGACCCAATACTACTCTCTCAAAGTGAAGATGATTTACAACGTATGCTGCACCAATTTAATATAATCGCCAAAAAAATTAACATGGTAATTTTCCCAATGAAGACAAAATGCATGGTTTATCATCATCATCATTTTCTTTTACAACTCTTCTTAAGTTTTTGCCGCGTTTACCATTGGCTTCCATTGATTCCGATCCTGGGCTATTATTTCCCATGGCCTTACTTCCATCTTCTCTGGGTCTTCCCTGACTGCGTCTTTTCACCTTTTTCTAGGCCTTCCTGTCGATCTTTTACCATCTGGTCTTTCCCAAAACACATTGCCAATCAGTCTGTCGTCATCACTCCGTACCACGTGGCCTGCCCATCTTAATTTATTGGCTTTTATGTATCTTACGATGTTTCCTTTCCCGAAGAGAGTCTCTATTTCATTGTTGTATCTGCTCCTCCATTCATTTGTTACGCTGTTCCTGCAAGGACCATATATAATTCGCAGGATTTTGCGTTCCCATACTAATAGCTTATTGATTTCTTTCTTTCTCAATGTCCATGTTTCACTTCCATATGCCACTGCTGATCGTATTATGGTTTTGTACATTTGGATTTTGGCACGCCTTGAGAGAAGCTTTGACCTCATTAGATATTGAATGGCAAAGAATGAGTTATTCCTCGCCAGTATTCGTATTTCAACCTCCCGTTCTCCTGTGTTTTCACTGGTAATTGTTGCTCCTAGGTATTTGAATTCTTTGACCACCTCAAAATTATGATCGTTTATGGTAATGTTTTGTCTTATTCGCTGTCCTATTTTTGATACGACCATGTATTTAGTTTTTTCTTCGTTTATTTTCAGGCCTACGCTTAGTGTTGCTTCTTCAAAGTTCGATACTATATCCTTAACTTCCAGTGTTGTCTGTTCTACTGCATCTACATCATCTGCAAATGCGAGAATAATCTTTGCTCCTCTGGCAGTTATGTCTGGTTTGACTCTGGTATAGATTTTTCGCATTGCGTATTCCAATAATAGGTTAACTAGTAATGTGGACAGCGGGTCTCCCTGTCTGAGCCCGGTGCTTATGCCAAAAACCTTTGAAGTTTTGCCTCCTATTCTAATTTGTGCAAAGGAATTGTTGACACACATTCACGCAATCATGGTCAGCTTCTTTGGTACACCTAACTCCATCATTGCACTCCACAGTTTTAAGTCAAAATGCATTATTACAACAACAAATTTACTAAGATGTAAACTGGAGCTGAAAGGTCAGATAATAGAACAAGTGATGGAGTTTAATTATCTAGGCGTCACATTATCTAGCTACGGAAAGCTCGAAACCAAAGTGGAAGATTAAGGGAATGGAGCAAACAGAGCCGCATGCTGCCTAAATGAAATAATATGGAGAAATAAAAATATCAGGAAAGAAACGAAAGGCAGAACTTACACAACATTCATCAGACCACTAATGACATACGCGGCAGAAACAAGATCTGACACAGAGAGGACTAAAAGGATGTTAAAAACAGCAAAGATGAAAACACTTGTAAAAGTTGATGGTAAGACACTATGGGACAGAGCTATAAGTGCAGATATACGACATAGATGCAAGGTGGAGAACATCAAAAACTGGGTAAGAAATAGAAAAATAGAATGGCACGATCATATAAGCCGATTGACAACAAATAGGGTAGTAAAGATGGCAAGATACGGTTTCCCAATAGGAAGACGATCAGTAGGAAGACCACTAAAACGATGGAATGACAACTTACTTAAAAAAACATAGTCATGTCTATATAAAATCAAGAACAAGATTCGAAGGATGACATTAAATCTGTACATATTGCAGTTTTCATGGCTTTAGTTTGATTACATAAGCTTTTTAATGCTTGTAAGATGGCGTACAACTCTCCTGCTTGGATAGAAGTGGATTGTGAAAGGGAAAACTTCTGAATAATACTATTTGAAGTTGTTACAGAATGTTCGACACCTGTCTCGGTTTTAGATGCATCTATGCAGAGAATCTCGTCGAATTTGGCTATTGGTTTCATTTTTGTGATAATTATTAAACGAAAGGTTAGACTTCAATAAATTTGAAATCATCCATAAAGTTCTATTTTAGTATTAAGAATTAAGGTAGTTCAATCATAGTTTTCTTTCAGTATCTTAATTGGATTTAAGAACGATTTACACTCATAACAAAAATAAATTTAAACCGACCAGCATAAACACACTTTTATTTAAAAACGCAAAAAAACGAATAATTTTCGGTTCTTGAGACATGTTGTTATTCACATGAAAGACGTTTTTTAACTTAATACCTTTTTTATCCTTTTATAATAATTTGATATAAGTTAATTGTTTATTTTTAATGTATATAAATATTTTTTTATTTAGCTTGATTATTATGGAGAAATTGGAGTTGGAACTCCCTCACAAAAGTTCAACGTAATTTTTGATACCGGTTCCACTGATCTTTGGGTTCCTTCATCCAAGTGCAAAGTCCATGCAGGCCAAGCAAACGGCTGCCGTAAGTATAATTATGTTACTGTAAGTACTTCTTTCTTAATTTCCTCTTCTTTTCTTTTTCTTTCTTTTATATCAACACCTGTCTATTTCTTTCCAAACCAACTCACTCTTTCTTTATCTTCCAATTCTTCTTTGATTATTTGGTGATGATTTATGAACGAACAGAGGAGAGACCGCCTAATGAAATAGAAATAATAGAGAAACTAAAGAAAACTGAGAGCCCAGGTGATGAAGTTACAGCTAAAATATTCAAATATAAAAGACCAGTACTAATTAAATATTTAGATAAGTTGCTGAAAGAAATATGGGAATAGGGAGATATACTGAAATAATGGACGAAGCCATACTGTGCCCAATCCACAAAAAAGCGAAAAAAGTTGCCATAATTACAGAAGAATATCGCTACTAAATGTTGCAAATAAAATACTTACAGTATTTTACTAGCGATTGGAAAAATGGGATTATCTGCCCAATCTACAAAAAAGGAGACAAACTTAAATGCGAAAATTACCGCGGCATAACCCTTCTATGTTCGGCCTACAAAATTTTTACATCCATCCTGAATAGGCGACTTCAACCATTATGTGAAAATATTATCGGCGAATACCAGACCGGTTTTCGACAAGGCAGGTCGACAATAGATCAGCTTTTTACAGTAAAGCAAATCCTTAATAAAGCTTGGGAACACGATATTGATGTTCACAATATATTTGTCGACTTCAAACAGGCTTATGACTCCATAAATAGAAGCCGGTTATATAACATCATGGAAAGCTTCAATATTCCCTCGAAATATATCCGACTAGTAAAAGCAACGATGGACTCCACAATAGCAACTGTACGTATACAGTACGAATTAACTGACAGCTTCGAAATAGTTATATAATATAATATAATATAATATAATATAATATAATATAATAGAAAGGGCTGAAACAAGGTGATGGACTAGCTCCAACACTGTTCAATCTGGCCCTTGAATATGTCATCAGAAAGCTGAATGTCGGAAGAGCCAATCTCCTAACAAACAAATCTGTCCAGCTCGCCGCATATGCGGATGACATTAACCTCATGTCCCGCAGAGTGGATGATGCAGCAGAAACATATTCGCAGCTGAAAAAAACGGCCAATGAGATTGTACTTGAAATAAATACACAGAAGACAAAAATACTAACACAAACGCGGATAAAGCGAACAAGAAATCAAATCAAAGTAGAGGATGACATTGAAACAGTGAAGAGTTTTACTTATCTTGGAGTTGAAATGAATACGGAGGGAACAGAAGAGGCCGAAATTCAGAAGAGAATAATGAAGGGAAATAAAGCCTATTTTTCCCTGATTAACATATTCCGCTCCAAGACGGTACATCGAAAATCGAAACTTAAGGTCTATAAAACTATCATCAGACCGATAGTATGCTATGGATGCGAGACATGGGTTTTGACAGAAAGCACTAAACGAAGATTAGAGGTTTTCGAGAGAAAAATCCTAAGGAAGATCTTTGGACCCATCACTCAAAATGGGATGTGGAGATCTAGATATAACCATGAACTCTACCAACTGTTCAAAGAAGCACCTATTGCAGAGTTCGCTAGAGTACAAAGGCTTCGATGGGCTGGTCATGTGGTACGGATGGATGCCGACAGATTGCCGAGAAAGGCCTTGGATGGTAAAATGCAGGGCAGAAGACCAAAGGGAAGACCACGTAATAGATGGGAGAACGAAGTCACAGCAGATCCGCACAACTTATTGAACGTCAGGGCTTGGAGACGAGTGGCGCGGGATCGCCTTTGTTGGAGGCAGAAGTTACAGGAGGCCAAGGCTCAATTTGGGCTGTAGCGTCATTGGAAGAAGAAGAAGAAGAAGAAGTCGGAATCAACAAGACAGGATTTTATATCAACAAAAGCACCAATGCTTTCACATACGCGGATGATTTAGTACTGATGTATGTGTGTACACCGTTAGCAAGCCTTTTAGGCCCATTGCTAAATGGATAATTTTTATCGTTTTGTGTTCTTAGCTATCAGCTTCCAATCTCTGATTCCCAACTCTCTGCCATCATTCATCACTACATCTCTCTATTTCTTTCTTGATCTTCATTTCTTTTTTTGCCCTCAGGTACTCTCCAAACAATAGTCTTGTCTATTTTATTACGTTGCATTTTTCCTAGATATCCGAACCATTCTAGTCTACGTTTTTCATCACTTTTATTGTAGAGTTAGTAGAAAATTGGTACACTTCTGCATTCGTTCGTCTTCTCCATTCTACCCCTACTACTTTTCGACCCAACATTTTGCGAATCATCTTTCTTTCTCATACTTTCAATTTGTTCTGTATGGTTTTATTCATAGTCCATGTCTTGACAGCGTATAGCATTGTGGGTCGAATTTTAGTTTTGTATACTCTTTTTTTTATTACGAGATATGTATTTGGCCTTAATTATTTTGCTCATGGCTCCAGCACACCTGTTGCTCTTGGTCAGTCTAAGGTTGATTTTAGTTTCTTTCTTACACGTCTGATCAATAAGAGTACACAATTACATATATTCATCCAACTTCTCGAATTATACAACTGATTCATCCTCAACTTCCAATTTGAAGGAGTTGGTGTTTATTCCTTTTTTGCTTGAGATTTCCATGTACTTGGAACTATTAATATTAACTTTCAGTCCCATTTTAAAGCTTTCCGAAATCAGTTTTTTTTTGCTATACTTGCCAGTTCCTTTCCATTTCTTGCAATAAGAACCACATCATCAGCGTATGCTAAGCATTGCTGCTCTTTGTATAAAATAGTGCTGGACCTATTTATCCTACTAACCCTTACAATTTTTTCTAGAACTATATTAAATAGCAAGGTAGACAATGGGTCTCCTTGACGAACACCTTTTTTCACTTCGAATTCTTCTGAGACTCTACCGTTACATTTCACACCACAAATGATTGGGCGAGCACTTTATATATTACCTCTAACAAGGATATTTCTCTATAGTTTGTGCATTCAGTTCTATCTCCTTTTTTATGTATAGGAATTTTAATGGACTTTTTCATTCTTGAGGCATTTCTTCGGCATCTCACACTTCTAGTATTAGCTCACAAAGTTTGTTTCTTAAAGCCTCACCTCCATATTTTAAGTTCTTTGTTACAATGCCCGGGGTTTGTTGATTTATTATAGCTTTTATTATTTCTTAAATTTCTTCCCTTGTGAGCATTGGTATTTCTTATATTACTATTTGAGGTTTAAAAACATTATAATTTTCCTCAGTAGTCACTTTGTCATTTAGCATCTCTTCGAAATATTCTTTCCACCTTTCACATGTTTGGTCTTCGTCCACTATCAGGTTTCTTTGCATGTCTTTTACATTCATTGTTTTTCCTTGAAAGGAAAAAGAAAGTGCAACGTAAATTTAATTTTGAAAAACGGAAAATTTGAGGTAGTGCAGGTTTATGAGAAGGATATAGAAGAAACCTACGCCAAACAAGATAGTACTGCTGTACAACAAAAGTTCTTGAAAATGACAAGCACTATTAAGGAAGAAGCGTTGAAGAATATAGCAAGAACAAAAAGATTTATTAAAAACCACTGGTTCCATGACGAATATAGAACAAAGTTAAAAAAAGATCAGATTTGAGATTAAAAATTTTGTGATCGCAAAACAAGACGACCATGTGTACCTTGGCATCAACGTAAATGCAAAATGGGAACAGACCATAGAAATTAAGGCGAGAATAGAACGAGCTAGAGCAGCATTTAGCAATATGAAAAAGCTCCTCATAAGCAAGGATTTATCTCTTCCCCTAAAACTACGTAGAGTTAAATGCTACATTTTTCCGATCTTGCTGTATGGCGTGGAGGCCTGGACCCTGACGGAGACGCTAACGAGAAGACTAGAAGTATTCGAAATGTGGGTGTACCGACGCATTCTTCGTATATCCTGGACCGAACATGTCACCAACATAGAGGTACTCAAAAGAATCGGAAAGGAGAAAGAAATTGTGAATACAATTAAACAAAGAAAGCTTGAATATCTAGGCCACATATTGAGACACGATAAGTACCGTCTGCTACAATTGATTGTCCAGGGAAAAATACAGTAAGCGAGGGCCAGGCAGGAGAAGACACTCGTGGCTCCAAAATCTGCTGAAGTGGTTCGGGCTCACATCGGTCGAACTATTCAGAAGCGCCGCAAACAAGATCAAAATTGCCATGTTAATAGCCAACGTTCGCAACGGACAGGGCACCTGAAGAAGAAAAAGATGAATAAACTGTTCGAATGTTATTGCTGTATCTTTACGTCTTTAGACAGTCAGGTAGATACAAAATCTTACACGGAAAGTTAGCGAATATGTCCTGCTATTTCCCACTTCATGTGCATCGTTTCATCTACAAAAATGCAACATATTTTGCCATCTAATTGTAAATCGTTTTCGTTTAAAACTATAAAAATAAAACATATAAGAAATTAAAATGCCAAACTGACAAAAAAAACAGCAAATAAGAAAGAATGGAAAAGAATAGTAAACCAAGCCATGGGCCATGAGCTAAATAATATTTGAATTTGTTTCGACTTTTCCCTCCGGAGCTTTTAGCTCTTTTTTTTCCCTTAGCGAATTGTGTTTCTCGTACTCACACAGAGTATATCCGAATACTCAACAGATACCTAGGCGTTTTTTGCATGAAATCAAATATTTGCTGTCTTTTTCCTTTCCTTTTCATCTGTATTACTTTCTCTAATTCCTCTATTGTTAGCTCTTTTGAGGTTTCAATGTCTACTTTGTTTGCTTATTTTTAGTTTAGTGTTTGCTCTTTTTCGTTTTTTTTTTTTCGTCAATAGTTCTCGGTAGTGATCTGCTAATACTTACTTATATTAGTTGGTGTTATTTATAATCTATTAAAATATGTTTTAATTTTAGAAAACCACAAACAATACGATTCTAGCAAATCTTCAACATATCAGGAAAATGGCGGATACTTTTCTATCCAATACGGATCAGGATCTTTGAGTGGTTTCCTATCTCAAGACAGTGTAGAGGTGAGTTTTAAATCTTCCATAAAATGAGTTACTCGTATAGCGTATCTGACATAAGTAGTGCGAACAAAGTAATGGGCTTAATTAGGAAAAAAATTTAATATTATACTTGCAATACTATATATTTAATACAGACTAGAACATGATCTTAAATTGCGGAGGTAAAATGCAAACAAGCTTAAGTCACAAATAAAGATTTTTTCAGGGAGTGCGAAAAACTTGTAACTTCGCTCTGAAAAATGATAATAAGTTCTAATCACTGTTATGCAATAGTATTGGTTCCAAACATGAGATTAACATACTTATTTCAGTTAGAGTAGCTAACCTAGCTAATTAAAAGACCTTTTGCACGAACTCATGGAAATAAGTCATTTTGCATGTAAAACGTTGTGGACCTAAGATGATTTGCGTGCAAGTAAAGTAAAAAAGCAATAAAGAAAAGGAACAGTGGTTTTCTGAATGATCTTCTATTTTTGTAAAATAATAATATGGACCCTACCTAAGTGATAAACATTGTCATAATAGGTAGTTAATGCAACAAACAAACAGTTTTTTTAAATATGGAAGTCACAGCACTCATTGTCGAGACAGTCATTACTTTCTGCTCCTCACCAGCAGCTGCTGTAGTTGGTTCATCAAAAATCAAACTCTTCTATCAACCAAGGCATGGGTCTGGACATCTTTAACTGTATAATGATGATAGACCTGAAGAACCGGAGACTTTAGTTAAAGGTGAAGGACCAGAAATACTAAAATCAGTAATACTGCATGCTATAAAGTTAGCAAAGAACAAGAAAGCCGTTGGCCCTGATAACATACCGACAGAGATGTTAAAGCTTATAAATGAGGAGAACATTGGAATACTGGTCAAACTTTTCAATGATATTTATTCGACTGGTGATATCCCTGAAGATTGGTTAAAGTCCGAATTCATAACACTACCAAAAAATCAACGTCCAAAAAACTGTAGCGATTATAGAATGATAAGCATTGTGAGCCACACTTTGAAAATATTTCTACGCATCATCCACAGTAGAATCAGAGATAAATGTGAAGAAGATCAGGATGAAACACAATTTGACTTCAGAAATGGACTGGGAACTCGGGACGCCCTCTTTGCACTAAATGTATTACTGCAGAAATGTCTAGATCAAAGGAAAGACGTGTTTGCTGTATTTATGACTTTGAAAAGGCCTTTGATCGAGTACAGCATCACAAATTAATTACAATATTAAAAGATAAAGGAGTTGATAGTCAAGACATACGATTCATAGAAAAGTTATACTGGCGTCAAACAGCGACAGCTTGCATATACGGAAAATCAACAGAAATACGTAAAATATAAAGAGGTGTCAGACAGGGTCGTATACTATCCCCACTGTTATTTAATTTATATTCTGGGCGTGAAAGTTAATAAAATTCTGATAAAAACAATTAGATATGCAGACGATACAGTTATTTTAAGTGATGACATGAATGGACTACAATGCCTTTTAAATGACATTGATACAGTGGGAAGAGAGTTTGGCCTAAACATAAACTGTGCAAAAACAAAACACATGGTGTTTAGCCGTTTAGCACATCAAGATGCACGATTATATGTTGATGGTCATATAATTCAAAGAGTGTCCAGTTTTAAATATCTTGGTTGCCATATTACTGAACAACTAGATCCAGATCAAGAGATAAAATGTAGAATCGAGGTAGCCCGCACGACATTTTTAAAAATGAGGTCATTCTTCTGTAATGATAACTTGCAACTTCAACTTCGAAAGCGTATGGTTAAATGCTACATTTTGTCAGTCCTCTTATATGGTGTCGAAGCATGGACATTAAAAATATCCACCATTAATCGTCTGGAGGCCTTTGAAATGTGGCTGCACAGACGTATACTAAAAATTCCATGGACGGCTATGCTGACAAATGTGGCAGTCCTTGAGAGAGCAAATGCTGCTCGTGAGCTGCTTGATAACATCAAATGTAGAAAGATGGTCTATTTTGGACACGTAGTAAGGGAGACCGATATAATATTCTTCAACTTATTATGATGGGTAAAATCGAAGGACACAGAGGAATTGATAGAAAGCAGGCCTCTTGGTTGAAGAATATCAGGGAATGGACAGGAATAAAGAAAGCTGAGCAACTATTTAGAATAGCTCGAGACAGAGACAGTTTCTTAATCGCCAACGCCAAGGGGGCTTGATAGGGCACGTTAAGAAGAAGAAGAAGAAGATCTTTTTTTTTTTTGGTTAACACATAAGGTAGTGGGAGTTTTTTCAGTCTTACTTATCTAATATTATTTTTCCCTATATTTCTCAAAGATATAAAAGACCTTTTGTAAGACTTTCTTTTTCCCGTTTTTCGTAAGTGTTCAATTTCTTCTTGTGTGCGGTAGCATATTTAAATTCTCTTTAGTCCGCTTATTAATTGGATGTCTTTATAGTATTTACTTAGCTCCTTAGTATCAAGAAGTGACCAATCTTATCCTAGTGCTTTTACCTTGCCTATACCACTGACTGATGTTTTCTGTGTTTCCTAAAAATGAATCCGTGTTCTCAGGATAATATTCCTTTAATTTTGAGAAACACAACCATCGCCAAATAAGTACAGAACAGCCCTAAAAATTAGCTTCTTTCGTATAGTTAAAGAGAGAGATGATATTTCCACACTGCCTTTTCCTGCCTGCTTCTTTTTCCAAGCGTAGAATATGTGGTTTTGAGTTTTTAGATCAATTAATACAAAAATTGTAAAACCAAATCTGTCTTGCGTAATAAGTTTCTTGAATTAGGCTTTTGAGTTATGGCTGAATTTGTTGAAGATCCAAGCAAAAGCTAACATAATGAGAAACATTAATTTGCAAACTCATAAAACGCCTTTGCTCTTCTTGAATAAATTCGCTTTTCAACGCAGACTGTACTGGTGCACTTTTCATTTGTTCTTTGAGAAGGCAGCACTTCTTTTTCTTTAACAGCAAACCCAAAATGCACCTTTTTGGCTATGTTTTTATTGCAGTTTTTCCAATACCAATAACAGTGCAAAAAAGCTTTAAATACACAAAAGTTTTAGCACCAAACAGTTGGAAAAAAGTATTGTATTGAGCACTTTCACTGAGATCCAGGTTTTGTAAATACTTTGACAATAAACCCTCACATAACCTCAAATTTGTAAGACTGACTGATTGGCCTATTGGCTTGTTGGAAATACACTGGTTACTATGGACCAATATAGTGGAAATAAATTGTTTTGCATGTAAAGGTGATTTTTAACATGCTTTTAACATTGGTAATATTTTTTTGCATGAATCAGATAAAATAAAACTCTTTAGCTACAACAGGACAATGCATTGGCAACTCTAACTTAACTTTGATTTTTGTGTGACTTAAGGCTGTTTGCATGTTACCTCCTCAATTATAGCAGTGAATTAAACATTATATATATATATATATATATATATATATATATATATATATATATAATATATATATATATATAATATACCCGGTATTTAGGCGGCACAAGCCCTACCGGTAGGGATCTATTTAGGAGTATCACCGAGCCGCAAGCCCTTATCTCTTGCCGTACTGCTCCACCGTAGGCCAATCAGACCCCAGCATATTCTAGTCTAAGCCGCAGATTCATTTTTAGAATTTTAAACTGCTGCGTTAGACTGTTTGTTTTCTGTACACCGAGCTGGCGATCGAACTCGCTTCCTCTGTCTTTATCCTTTTCTTCTTTTTTCCTGATATTATCAAAATTTAGTCTATCTTTTCCAGACATCATGTACACTTCTTTTTTCTCTTTTGTTTATTTAGTCGATTTTACATAAAACGAAAATTACATAAAACCAAGACAAAAACAAAAAAGTTATATATATATATATATATATATATATATATATATATATATATATTATATATATATATATATCCGGTTTTTTAGGCGTTAAGACGCGTCCACACTGGAGCAACATTTTCCAACATAATCCAACAAAAACTTGTTACAACATAAAATGTTTATATTTGTTGGAATATGTTGTGTTGCGTTGCATAAAGTTGGTGTTGCGATTCAACACAAGTTGTAGTATGTTGTATAAATCCGTTTCTAGCGGTAAAGATCAAAGGATAATATGAAACAAAGTGAAACATTTGTCAACATTGCTTAGATGTGGACGGATTGTTGCGAGTTGAGACCTGTTGCAAATTTAGTGACTAGACAGTAGACAGACCGCCGCGTCTATATTTAGTGATGGCGTTTAAGTGGACTTCGGAGAATTGTTTAAATTTAATTGACAATTATAGACAACATCCATGTATTTGGAATCCTAAAAATGTGACATAAAAATGCAGAGAATCAAAAAATGATGCATGGAATGCAGTTTGTTCAGCTGTAGGGTGCTTATCTCAGGAAGAGGCAAAAAGAAAAATCTGTAATTTGGTGGCTCAGTTTTATAGAGAGAAAAAAAAAATATCGCAGCATGAAAAAATCTGGAGCAGGCGCTCAGTTTCATTCCAAGTGGTTTGCCTACGATGCATTAATATTTCTTCGAGACAAAAACAAAGTCCGCCCATGCAAGGAAAGTGAAGCTGAGAACGTGGTAAGTAAACACACAATGTTTTTAGATATTAACTTTTCTGTTATTAATTATTCAAACAAATAAATAGGCAATTTCAATTTATACATGAATTATAATTCAATAATTATTCTGCCACGGCACCATCCCCAAAGGTGTAACGAAAAAATCTGCAAACTCTTGCCTAATATCTTTTGCTTCAGTTGATGCATTTCGTGCAACTTTCTTGTATGAAGTAAATGTATTACTCTGAGTTTCTCTTCTCCACGATCCTTCTAAAACACGTCCTGTATCTTTATCTTTACCGTCATATGTACCTGGGGGATTGTAGGAATTTTTAGATCTTGAACTGTTCCTTAAAAAATTATGCAAGTATATGCAAGCCATAACAACAACTTCTGCAGTTTCTGGTTCTAAAAGTAAGGGTTTTCTAAATATTCTAAAAATCGAAGATAACATTCCAAAAACATTTTCTGATATTCATCTCGCTCTACTGAGACGGTAATTAAATATCCTTTTGGGAGACCCTTTGTCCTGCGCCCCAGGGTAGGGTTTAAGTAAATTTGGTGATAATGGGAAGGCATCATCCCCTAAAAATACGTGAGGGACTAATTTCTCACGTCCTGGTAAAGAGCTATCTTCTGGAAGGTTGAGTTTGCAGCGAGTTAATAGTTTTTTGAATAATGTATTTTCGAAAACTCCTCCATCAGATATTCTCCCTTGGGAGCCTACATGAAAATACAAAAATCGGTAATTAGCATCCATTACGCCGAACAGAACAATGCTAAAAAATGTTTTGTAATTGAAGAAATCACTTCCACTGTTTTTTGGTGCTTGTATTGCAATGTGCTTGCCATCCATGACGCCTACACATTTTGGAAAATTCCAAAGAACACTGAAACCATTAGTAATTGTTTCCCATTCTTGAGCAGTTTTAGGCATCTGAAATACAAAGATATCATTACTTATGCTAAAAATGTAGATCACTGTAATATTAGGCGTTTTCCTATTTGTAGTGTTTACATTTTATACAATGTATTTTTCTTTTCAGGATGACCTTAATGACTTTTCCTCCGAAACGGATTTAGATGATTCACAAGTAACAGATTGTGATGAAGGTGGAAATGAGACCCAAGAATTTCAAGATGCAGAAAATGGCAACGAAGGCATGAAAGACTTGTATAACGATGGTTCTCAAAACCCATCAACATCTAACGCTGCTTGTGAGAAGCCTTCGGCATCTAACAAGTCCTCTCAAGAGCCTCGTAAAAAAACCGTGGAAAATCCGAACAGCACAAATCTTGATGAATTTAAACACCCTAATAAAACTAGACGTGTCACACAAACACTTACAAGAAAAATCGATGATAACGCTCGAAAAGAAGAGGCATATAAAATAATTCAAGACATACAAAATAAACGACAGCGAGACAAATTCGATGTATTTGGAGAACATATGGCGTGTAAAATTAGGGATTTGAATACCACCTGCGCACAAAATATTGTAGAACATCTTATAGGTAATATTTTGTTCGATGCAAGTATGGGTAAATATGATGATGGAATGCCACAATCAACTAACACATATGAGCCAATTTTATCAATGCAACCTTCCACGAGACCACAATCACATTCATCGTATTGCAGCACACCAGCTATATCACCAGCGGAGACATACATACAAAACTCTTCAGACTCCTCTACTGCTTTTGGTTCCTCAAACATTCTCGCAGAGGCATTTCAATTAAGTAACATGTAAAACTTCTAAAGTTATCAATAAAAAAGTACAATAAAGTTTACTTGTTTACAATAAAGTGGTCTTTAATTGCATTTACTAGCGCAGCACATACTTCTGGTACTATCTTTGAGATAGCTTGTTTCGAAATCTTAAATAAATACATCAAGCTGCTGTAGGAATCTCCACTTGCCAGAAAGCGCAATGTTACAGCTAATCGTTCTTGTGGAGGTATAGCCTTTCTACAGTTAGTATCTGCTTTTCTTATCACTGGTGCAATTTTTTGCAGCAAAAATTCCATACCTGACCTACTCATGCGCAAAAAATTTTTAAAGCACCCATCGGTTCGAAGTTCTAATAAAACGTCATCTTTCTTTAAATCCGATAATATTTCCTTTCCACCATATTTTTCCCTTTTCTTCAAACTTGGACGGACCCAACATTTACGCTTCCGTTTTCGTGAATCACCACACAAAATTAGAAAGCACGCGGTAGCAGTTAATAAGTCTTCCTCCATCATGTCACAAAACTACAGCAGTATGGACAGAATGTTGCACTCAACTGAATTTGTGATTCAACAAGTTCAAACATTCATTAACATTGTTGCACTAGTGAGGACAGTTTGTTTTATGTCAAAAGTTTAATAAATTAAACATTTAGCAACTTGTTGCAACATAAAATTGCTACAAGTTGCCAAATGTTGCTCCAGTGTGGACGCGCCTTTACGCCCGTCCGGTAGGGATATATGGAGGAGTATCACCGAGCCGCAAGCCCTTATCTCTTGCCGTACTGCTCCACCATAGGCCGATCAGACCCCAGCATATTCTAGTCTAAGCCGCAGATTCATCTAGAATTTTAAACTGCTGCGTTAGACTTTTTGTATTCTGTACACCGAGCTGGGGCTCGATCCCACATCCACTGAACCATTCGACAGTGAAGCGAATGAGAGGCAGCCGCACAGCCCGCTGAGCTATCTGACCGACAAAAAAGTTGCAGAAATTAAAAGAAATAGGCTGCATTATTTTAATTACTTCGAATATCTGACAAAAATTCATACAACAGCTTAAAAAAACTGGTCCATATTTCTATTTCTTTTTGTGACTATTTATATTTATTCATATCATGTCGATAAAGAGGAAAACAGGGAACATGTTTATTTTTATAGTATTGTTGTTGAAAGTAAACTAATTATTTATAAATTTCGTCTGCAGGTGGATGTTTTTCTAAGTTGTCTCGTTCAAATTATCTGCTCTATCACACTCTGCTGTGATCTTGATATTATGAAATGCATTTTTTTATATAAACCCAATTAGCCATCCTTTGCTAGCTGAAAATTTTTTACCATCTTGGGCAGTGGAAGTTGGTGTCTCTGACTGTTTCATTAACTCATAAAATGTTAACAGGTGGCGTTAGGAGCAAACATAATAATTTATTGAATTAATTGAATATAATATAATTTACTAAAAATATAAATAATAAATAATTAATAAAATTACTAGATTCAATTTTAAAATATATTTAAAATTTAAAAATCTAGAAAACATAGTATGAAGCTTCGTGGTAGTCTCTTTTTTCCTTATTCTTGTTTTTTAATTTAGGATAATTTTGTTTTAGGTTGGCGGTCTTCCTGTAAAGAATCAAATCTTTGCTGAAGCAACTGACGAAACCTCTCAATCCTTCGTTACGAGTACATTCGATGGTATTTTAGGATTAGCTTACCCTCAGCTCTCAGATCAAAATATTCCTCCAGTTTTCCAAAATTTGATTGACCAAGGTGTTGTAGACAAACCAGTATTTTCCTTCTACCTCAGTCAGTAAGTATATATGGATATGTTTAAGTTTACCGGGGTAATTCTTTTTGCCTTTAGGACTGTGCCAATTCAGTCAGCAAAATCTTTTAAAATTAATGCCTAACTAAACCAAAATACATGACCTAATCGAGTAATCAAAGATATGGAAGATGAAAAATTTTTTCCGTTCCCTATTCATAAGAGGGTCGTTCAGGGTGACTATCACAGATTAAGTAGACCACAGGATAAGCAGTATTCATATTCATCATTGACCTCGATGATGCTAAGATGAATTGAAAACATATTTGGGTTTTTAATTTGTACGAAAGGAACAGAAAAACATGGAAAAAACTCTTCGTTATTATAATTCATATATGAGGGGATTTCAATTTAATACATATACGATTATACTATTGTTTTAGTTTTCTGAGATACGATTGTCATATTAAAAAAATCCACAAGGAAAATAATTACTGCAGCTGGTTGTATACCATGTATTACAAAAAAAGAGATTAAATCTTTGTAAATAGGTACATTTAAAAACCCTTAAAAGGGCTACATCAAATTAACACGAAAGTTTTTGGAATAATAATTCCATCATCAGGTTAAAAATGCCTAAAATAAGTATAAACCATTTAATTAACGCAAACGTGGTTAAAAATTTTGACTAAGGTTAAAAAAGCAAAATGGTTATACTTATAGGTTAATATGCCGAAGCCACCAAAATATTAGGGTAAAATTTTTAAAAGTAAAACTGGAACAAACCATGAAGTGGAGATATCCAGGAGTGGCTAGTATACCTGTTGAATACAAAGCACGTGGTGTTCGTGTGTATTACGGTATAAAAAAAGCGCTTATTAAAAGCTTAAAATTTTTTATTATAAAGAAGATCTTTTCGGAATTGTATCATTCCATCATCAGTTTACTAAAAGAGAGAGTAAAAATACCAATATTAAAAACAACAAAGTTAAAATTTGAACATACATTTTTTTTTATATTACACAAGTCAAGAGTCTATTGCATTTACCTGAATAAATAACATGAAGATTATTATTTTTTAAATCCAGATGTCCATCGAATGTTTTTTATGTGGCCACACAATGTTTTTTAACAACTTTTTATGTAAGTAGTAAAAAACCAACTTTTCTTTTTGTATGTTCAAATTTTAACTTTGTTGTTTTTAATATTGGTATTTTTACTCTCTCTTTTAGTAAACTGATGATGGAATGATACAATTCCGAAAAGATCTTCTTTATAATAAAAAATTTTAAGCTTTTAATAAGCGCTTTTTTTATACCTTAATACACACGAACACCACGTGCTTTGTATTAGGGTAAAAACCCTTTAAAATAAGTAAGGTTAACAAAGATTGTACATATTGTTGTTAATAATATTTGATGTTTAATATTTAATTATATTTTACTTCTGGAACATACACCCATGCCTTACGTCAGTTCCAGCGTTCGGAGAGTAAACCTCTTCAAACGGACTTCAGCTGGTAACTGATTGACAAGATACCTATGAACGGTGTCGAAAACAAAATGTCAATTTACCATTAAACAGTATTAGTTATACATAGTATTACTACAGTCAAAAGATTCAAAACTTTGATGATGTTAAAAATGATAACAGCAAATCCATGTGTTGGGATTTAAATTTTTTTTTATTTAATTTTGGATATAAAAGATGTAAAATTACCGATGGTGTTAAAGGTCATGTTTAAGAAAATGATATATGGTCTAGAAAGTGTAATTTGTGACGGATTAGCTTAGATATATGAAATTGTCCTTTTATGTTGACCACATCTAGGACAAGGTAAAGTTAAATTGTATATATTTGTAGTTGATATAAGACCTCGTTTTTAAATGAAATTGTTTAAGACTGCTCGTATGGTAAAAAAGGTTAATATAAGTGAGTCTAATAAATTGAATAGAGGTTAAGAATCTTCCGGCTGAAGAAATTAAAGTTATAACCTATGGAATTAAATTTAAAATTGAAAAGGCTCAGCTCCCCATAGACTTGAAAAGAATAAAAGTAAAGGAAATGACTAAAGAAGGAAAGGGGGGGTTAAAGGAAAATAAATGAGTTAATCAACAAATTAGAGATAATAGAGGTCCTTCATGCTGAAAGCATCTAGCACCCTGAACAAAATCTATTTTGGTTGTATTAAATTCGGTATATAAAAACCTGAAATTTGTTGACTAAGAGAGGGAAGCAATGGTTGATTAAGGATTTTGGTAAAGGGGAAATAGTGAATTGTGATAAATTGTTGGATTATGTTGAAATGGTTACAGAGTTTAAAACTAATGAGTAGATTGTTGATACATGAATTCCTCAACCTCTTGCATCCAATGTTGGATATAGGTCTCCTCCATGTTCTTCCACTGTTCTCTATCTTGCGCCTTCTGTATCCAATTTCCAAATGTTTTTCCCAAGTCGTCCATCCATCTTTTTGGTGGTATGCCTCGGTGTCTTTTATCTTCTCTAGGTCTCCATTTTATGAGTCTTTTGGTTCACCTATTATTATTTTAACGTGCTATATGTCCAGCCCATCTCCATTTGGCTTGTGCAATTTTTTCTATGACATCTGTCACTTTAGTCCTCTCTCTCACTATCTTATTTGGTACCATATCTCTTCTAGTTATTCCCAACATTGCTCTTTTCATTTTTTTTTGGGTTACTTTTAATTTATTTGCAGAATGTTTGGTTAAATTTATTGTTTCAGAACCATATGTTATTACTGGCAGTATGCATTGGTTGTAAAACTTTTTCTTCAAGCAAATCGGTAGCGTTCCTTTTAGAATATCTCGCATCTTGCCAAATGCTGCCCATCCCAAGCCTATGCGACGCTGGATTGTGAAATCCAGCGTGCCATAGGTTAATACATGAAATGATAGAGAAATAATAAAAGAAAGAATAATGGACAGGAATATGATGTAGACGTGAAGAGTAGAGAAAATGATGAAATAGTGAGGTATGATGGATGTAGATGGTTATGAAGTTAACAATAGGATCAGAAAAATTGGGAAGGGGTGTGACAATAGTGTAAAGAGAGTGGTGGTTTAAAGAAACTCAATTATTAAGTGTGGGCTATGAGTTGTCGGTGTAAGGGTTAAAAGTCACGGTTGAAAGATACATGGCGATTAACGCAGTTGGGGTTTCTTTGATTTTATTTAACTATTTCTTTGTCGTCATATAGATCTCATTTTAAAAAAAAAATTTGAGGGATATTATGTAACAAAGAGATGTCTTCTGGGATGTTAAGGGATGTTTATGTTGTGTGAGATGTTGTGAGAAGGTGTTATCTTTTTTAGTGTGTTCTAGGGAACGGGAAGTTAGTGATCTACAGGTTCTACCTACATATGTAGCATCACAATCAGAGCACTGTAATTTGTAAACACCACTACGATCCATGTAGTTGATGGGATCTTTTGAATTAGTTAAACATTGTCCTAGATTCTTCAGGACTTTAAAAGAAATGTGGGTATTCTCAACAAATATTTTTAAGATATATCTGATATCTCCAGAAAGACGTTCTTGAAGGTATGGTAAGGAAGCATAATGAGGTTTGATGGAATAACAATAACAAGAACAAAATTCAATTCTCTAATTTCCCATTGCACCCTAGGCTCAAAAATCTATCTTCAGTAATTTTTGATAAAAATGAACTTAACTTAAATCTAGGTCTCAAATACTCCATTCCGAGGAAGGTTTCTGAAAAGAACCTTCATAGTCTCTCCATTGAGCTAGATGTTATTATCCAGAATCTCTCAGTCCCTCTAAATCAGAAACTCTTGTTACAAAACTGTCTATAAATTCAAAAACAAAAATGTTCTATCATCTTCTACTTCTTTCAATAACTCTACTTCCAACACTCCATCGAACACATCCAACAACTCATTATCCATCAACATACCTTCTACTTCTCAAAATTACTTATTCAATGTTTCTTTTCCACAACTTTCAGACAAAAAATAGAAAGACCAACTCCATTCCGAAAACGTTCATGTTTGTTAATTTGATGTAGCCCTGATGTTTTAAGGGTTTTTTAAATATACCCATTTACAAAGATTTAACCTCTTTTTTTTTCATATGAAATTCTTTTGCTCTTATGTTAAATCTGTGGATCAGTCTTTACAGACTATCTTCATTTTGGGCTATCAATATTGCATCGTCTGCGTAACAGAGTATTTTTATGTCTTTCCATTCTTTATCCTCTTCCTTTGTTAAAGCTTTTGATGATTTCATCCATGATTATATTGAAGAGCAGCTTGTGATATTCGGCCACCTATTTATATAGGTTCTGTAAGTTGTTTTGTTAGATATTTTCGATAGTTTTTATAATATTTAGGGGACCTTCTCTATTATACAGAAGATGGATTACATCTTTGAGTCTTACTCTGTCAAAAGCTTTCTTTAGGTCAATCAGACACATAAATGATGGTCTATTATAATCTAGTGACTTCTCAGTAATTTGGTTTATAACCAGTATTGCATCTGTACACAATCTTCCACTACGGAAACCCTGTTGTTCATCTGCTTAACTTATTCTATGATTTATTATTACTTTTAAGTAAAATTTTAGTTGGTTTAGGGTAGTCTTTAACAAGTTTATACCTCTATAGTTCTCTGGCTATTTTTTATCATCTTTGTTGAATAGTAGAATTAGTTCGCATTCTTCCAGTATTTTTTATACATGTAACTTGTTACTGACGTTACATCCCTATCACAGATATTTAAGCTAATCTTACTTTTTAAATTTCAGAGAAGCCAATGGCGATAAAGGAGAACTATTGCTTGGTGGATCAGATTCAAAGTACTACAAAGGAGATTTTGCCTATTCACCAGTATCACAAAAACTTTATTGGCAAGTTACTGCACAAGGTATTTCTGTTGACAACCATAACTTATGTCAACGTGGATGTGAAGCTGTTATAGATACTGGTACTTCTTTGATCTATGGACCAACCGAGGACGTTGAAGTTATCAACAAGGTAAATAGTATTAACCAAATAATCTTTTATTCGAAGTATCAAATTTTATTATTTATTATTAAATAAATATGTTAATATTTTTAGGCAATTGGCGCAAAATATGACTACTCTCAAGGTGCCTACCTCATTGATTGCAATACCGATTTGAGTAGTCTTCCTGATGTATCTTTTAAATTTGGAGGCAAGCAATTTGCCATACCTGCCAAAGCCTACATCGTCAAAGTAAGTATTTTTTATTTTGTCTTTGTAGTTAGTCATAAACACAGTTTGCCTACCAGACTGGTAAATTCACTATAAATGCTCTGAATTCGCTAGTCGAAAGAATTGAAAACACAATAGTGGCAAAAAAAATAGCTCTTTGCGCTTTCATTGACATAGAGGGAGCATTCGATAATACCTCATTTGAATCCATAGAAAGAGTACTAGTAAAGAGAAGCATTGAAGTCTCACTAATACAATGGATTTAGTCAATACTAAAAACGAGAATCATTATGCTAGTATTGGAGGAGAATCTGTGCAATGACAGCGGTAAAGGTGTGCCCTCAAGGGGGAGTATTATTGCCTCTGCTGTGATCTTTGGTTGTATATGACCTTCTCACTAAGTTGTATGATTCTGGTTTTATAACGCAAGGTTACGCAGATGACCTAGTTGTTACAATTAGGAGCAAGCATGACCAGACTATATCTAGTCTCATGCAAACTGCTCTTAACGAAATTAAAAGCTGGTGCTCGAAGGAGGGCTTAAGTGTCAACCCCAGTAAAACGACTTTGATACCATTCACAAGGAGACGTAAATACAATTTACAGGCTCCAACTATGAATGGCATCAGATTAGACTATTCAAGGGAAGTAAAATATCTGGGGGTAACCCTAGATTAAAAACTCACCTGAAATAGTCATATTGAAAAAATTTTATCCAGAGCTTTGGTGGCAAGTTGGACCTGCCGCAAGATGTTTAGAAAGATTTGGGGCCTACAACCGAAAATGACTCTCTGGTCATATAAAACAATAATTAGGAGCATGGTCACACACGCATCATTTGTATGGTGGCCTAAAACACAACAAACAATAGCTAACGCCAAGCTGCAAAAGTGCAGCGGCTAGCTTGTCTGGGAATCACAGGGGCAATGTCAGCATGTCCCACTGCAGCTCTAGAGGCGATGCTGAACCTTCCTTACTTACAGTTCTGCATAAAGAGGGAAGCAGGAATTACCGCCTTAAAACTTCGAAAGACACAAATAATGAAACCTGGAGATTTAGTTGGCCCCCTGAAAAAAAGTTTGCCTTTGTTAGGGTCCAGGTTTGACATCCATATATCATGATAGGAAGGATGCATTGGTTGAACATTTTTCTCCTCAAGTATTGGGGTATTTTGCGGTTCTTAAGTATCCGACTAAGTTTTCCAAATCCTGCCCATGCTAGTCTTGCTCTTAGTTCCCCCAACATAATTTGCAGTTCTTCGAATGTGCTCGCTATAATCACTATGTCGTCAGCGAATCTGAGGTGGTTAACTTGTTGCCATTAACGTTAATGTCATAGGTTGACCAATTTGTAGTTTTGAAGACGTCTTCTAGGGCTAGGTTGAAAAGCTTTGGCGATATTACGTCTCTTTGTTACACTCCTCTCTTAATGGGGATGGGATTTGTATTTTCGTCTAGTTGTACTATCATAGTTGCATTTTCATATATATTATGTATTAGTTGCCTATATCTCGAGTCTATTTTACAATTATTAATAGCTTGTTCTATGGCCCACATCTCGATACTATCAAACGCCTTTTCATAGTCGACGAAGGCAAGAAATACGGGTAGTTGGTATTCATTTGCCTTCTCTATCAATGTTCTCATTGTCAGCAGATGGTCTGATGTACTATATACTTTGCGTAAGCCAGCCTATTCAACCGGTTGGTAATTATCCATTTTGTAGGTTAACCGTTTATTAATAATTCTCATAAATAGTTTGTATACTTGACTGAGCAACGATATAGGTCTATAATTCTGTAGATCAAATTTTTCCCCTTTTTTGTGTATTACTAGACTCTCGTTCCAGTCTTTAGGGATCTGGCTATTATGGAGACATCTATTAAATAGCTCTGTTAGTACAGAGATTGTTAATGTTTTGCTTGTTTTCAGAAGCTCGGCAATTATACCGTCGTGTCCTGGAACTCCCAGTGCGGGTCTTAGACATTTTAAGCCTCTGTTGTTTTCAATGACTCGCTCTATTAAGTTCTCGTTCCATTTTTGTATGTCGCGTTTTAGTTCTTTTCTAATTGTTATATTAAGTTCTCTATATTCTTGAGTATGGCGTTTGTTTTGCGCTAATAGTAAAAAAATTTTCGTAAAAAGAATTTATTTCCTCATCGGTTGCTTTTTCAGTTGGAGCATAAACTTGCACGATCTTTATTTAAGTTTTAGTTTAGTTAGTTAGGATTTAGTTTTAAGACCATGTATGTAACCCTATCTGATATGCTGTCAATTATTTGAATTTGAGATATTCTCTTCTTGTTGATTAAGAAACCTACTCCACCGTATGTGTAGTCTTCCCTGCCTTTATAATAGAGTCTATTGCCTGAACGTAAGTCCACATATCCTTCATCTCTTCTTTTAACTTCTGACAGTCCCATTATGTCCCAATTCAAGTTCCCCAATTCCTCTTCTAGTTCGTAGAGTTTGCGATCCGACATACTAATCCGACAGATGCTATGCCAGTCAAATTCGACTTTGAAACACCTTTTGAAGTGGTCATAAAAAACCACCAAATGGATGAAGAAATTGAACCAAAAGTGGAAGAAGGTTTACTCGTATGGTATACGGATGGATCTAAGATAGATGAAAGAGCCGGAGTGGGAGTTACTGGGTCCAATTTTAATCTAAATCTCTTGGAAATGCTTCAACTATCTTCCAGTCAGAAATACATGCTATAGACATAAGTGCCCAAGAATGTCTCAACCGAGACACTAGTAGGGCAAAAGTCTTTATTTTATCAGACAGTCAAGCCACCTTAAAGGCTCTAAAGTCATTTACATGTGAGTCAAAGTTGGTTTGGGACTCTAAACAATCTCTCATGAAGCTGGCGGAACGCAACAATGTAACTGTGATGTGGGTACCAGTGTGTAACTGGCCTTCTCACTTATCACTGCCCTCTGAGATATCATCTCAAGAAGATGGGCAAATCAGATAGTGAGAACTGTCGTTTCTGTCACAATGAAAAAGAAACAGCAGAACATATACTATGCAATTGCGTACCACTGTTCTGCAAACGACTGAAACTCCTAGGAGAGGTCAGCCTGGCGTCCTCTGACATAGGAAACAAGGTACCTAGGAAGCTAATCAACTTCATCAGAAGTATTGGCATTCTAGAGTTTAACTAGATTAAGGTATACACAAAAGTTTGAGGCCACATGGCCTTAACGACCTCACATATTCTAATCTAATCTAGTCATAAACACGTTATAGCATTATTGGGTAACTTCCTACGCGAATATTACAAAATTGTTTTGAATAAAGTAGTAAATAATTTAAATGATATATTTAAGGCGGTTGAAATTCAGCTTGTAGTAAATAATCATCATCAATAACGTGTATGCGTCCACTGCTAGACATAGGTCTCCCTTAGCTCTTTCCGTCTGTCTCTGTCTTGTACAGCTTGCATCCAGTTATTGCTAATACGTTTCAGATCGTCCGTGTAAACTACATGAACTAAAATTTCCCTTGTCTTCGTGTAGAAAATCTGCTGCTGGTTCCGATGATATCCTTTATATCTTTTTAAAAATTCTCTACAATACATTTATAAATATATAACCATATCTGGAACACACATAAATTCGCAGAGATTTGGCGTAATTCTACATTTATTCCAATTTAAAAAATCTAAACAATCGTCTGTAACTCATAATTTTTTTATTCGATTACACTACTTGTACCACGTGCAAACTTCTTGAAAAAATAATAAATAAAAAACTCACTTGGTTCCTTAAAAAGCAGAATAATATTACCGACGATATACATACAATTAATTAACTAATATGCTGTTTTATTTTATAGGATGCAGATATTTGCCTATCAAGTTTCTTGCCCCAGGAATTCTTCCTCTCTGGATTTGAATGGTTGGTTGGAGATTCATTCCTGAAAACTGTTTACAGTGAATTCGATTTTGGCAACAACCGTATTGGATTTGCCGAACTTGCTTAAATATATATAAATTTATAAATAAATAATAAGGCAATAATAATAATTATTAAAATACAATACAGTGTTTTTTTATTAAGTTTTATTTTTAACAGGTTTTGCAGAATAAAATTTAATATGTTCGTCGAAGAAAAACCACTTACCTCGACGACCAATTTGTTTTTTGAAACAAATATTTATTGATACAAAATACAAATATATTTGAATAGAATTCGAAACTGAAATAAACATTCGAAATTACCAATTCGAAAGTTAAAAACACTCAATAATTGTCAGAGACAACGTTTGGAATTCTCTCGTGCTCATGAAGATTGACATATGAAAGATTTTAGAAACGTGAAAGTGTTAAGAGATGGACCCCATTTTACAAGATAATAACCTTATAGTCACCAAAGAGTCTGAAGAAGGTCTGCAGAACGCTGTGTCCAATGTTGTTCTTTTATATTGTAAGTATGTGTAAGTATTGTTTATTGGTGGTGGTATAATGGCATGGGGCGGCAATTCTTTGGAACCACATATAAATCTTGTTAACGAGAGATAGCTTTAATACGAATATCTACATTAAGAGACGTCTGGAAAAACATTCGGTAAAGTTTGTTTAGCAGTAAATGGTTGACTTTAATTAGTACCGACTATCAACATCCGAGGAGTTAGACAAGGAGACAATATTTCACCAAAATTGTTCACGGCAGCTCTAGAGTCAATATTTAAGGGTACTCAATGGCAAGATATGGGCATCAATATAGATGGAGAAAGATTAAATCACCTAAGGTTTGCAGATGATGTATTAATCGCAGATAACTTACAATATACAGTTTCTATGATGCATTCGCTTAAAAGTCTGTCTGAAAGAGCAGGATTAAAGATAAACTTTGAGAAAACTAAAATTATAACAAATCTCGTAATGAGTGGAAATATAACTATTGACAATAATACCATACAACAAACAGACACTTACAAATATCTGGGACACGAAATCAAAATAAGCAGAGACAATCAAACACATGAAATACAGAGGCGAATAGGTCTAACATGGGCAGCATTTGGCAAATTAAGCCATATTCTAAAAAGTTCAACCAATGTGTTTTACCTGTACAAACTTATGGAGCAGAGACTTTAACACTCACGCAAAAATCTGCGAATAAACTTAGAGTTACACAACGAGCCATGGAACGTGCAATGCTGAACGTGAGCCTTCGGGACCACATAACAAACCAACAAATCAAGCGAAGATCAGGAGTTCAAGACGTCATCGAAAGGACCACGACGCTTAAGTGGAACTGGGCAGAGCACTTAGTCAGAACACAAGATGGACGGTGGACAAGACGTATTATGGAATGGAGGCCCAGAAATTATAAAAGAAGCCTAGGACGACCACCGACTAGATGGACCGATGACATTAAACGTGTAGCGGGAAACTGGATACAAGCGGCCCAGTGTAGAGAACACTGGAAAGAACTGAGGGAGGCCTATGTCCAGCAGTGGACGCGATTGGCTGATTGATGATGATGATGATGATGATAAACATCCTGGGTTAACCGATAATAGTATAAAAGGTCCGATTCTAGGTAAAATTTCAATATGTGTCCTGGGAAAATTTGTCAATCTTCATTTCTCAAGGTTGATTCAATTGCCTACAATCCAAACTGATTATAATTTCATTAATACAGATAAGGCTTATATTGACCAAACTGCAAACTTACACATATTCAACGCGAGCTAAAGGATTTGCCGATTCCTCCGATAAATGTAAGACAAAAGCTCTGTCAACTAAAGTGAAAAGAATAACGATTTTATATGCTGGATCAGAAAATGGTTGGGTTACAAATGCATTATGGCTTTCTGCATAGAATATTAAAGACTCCTGCGTCGACTACCATAAAGATACAATGGCAGAAACTTTTGAAGAATGGTTCAAAAATAATCTAATGCTAAACATTCCTCAGAATAGCGTGATAGTAATGGACAGTGCAAGCTATCACATTCGCCAACTAAGTAAGGTCAACTAAGTATATGTTTGTGATACATTGGCAGAAGAAATGGGACATACAGTGCTGCGGCTTTCACCCTATTATTGTATGTTTAATCCCATATAACATATGTGGCACGAATTGAAGTCTACTCTGAGGTCACAAAATAATTCTCCAACGTTAAGTAGTACTGTTGTAGAGTTAATAAAAAAATGTGTCAATGATATTCTTCCAACTAGTTGGAGAAATTCAGTCCGACACGTAATAAGTAAAGAAAATTCATATGTTCATGTAGATCATAATATAATTGAACCGATCATAATTAATTTAGATGAGAATAGTGATGGCGAAACAGAACTATGTGTGGAGTGATCCAGTTATCAAATCTACAAATGTTAAGATTAAAAAAACGGTTCTTTTCAGGACCACAAATTATTATTAATGTTTGTTTTTCTATAATCTTATCAATTAAAATAGATTTAATTTATTTTAAACGAACTGTCAGAGTTAAGTTATGTGTGTGAAGTGCCGAAATTTTGTTAAAATTTTCAGATATTAACAAAACTGTTAATATATCTAAATTTTGAACCATATAGTTGATGGAACACAGTCAATCGTGTCCTAGTCGCCATACAAGTTAGTATTTGAGAATATCTTTTCTCTAAACGAATTTTCCTGAATATATCCATAAGTTTGCCATGCTGTAATATATTTAAAATATCTAAGGTAGTTCCCGTTTATAAAAAAGGGCAAATGTATATTAAAATATTTAAAAGAGTAGTTTACAAACACAATGTACTTTAGTGTGAGATATTCATGTTTAAAGAATAAGAAGAATTTGTACTGTTATTTGTCAAGTCACAATGTATTTGAGGACATAACCTATATATGACAATTAATTAGCAATTTGAGTGTAATGCACCTGTTTTTGTAATTTGTAAAACATTCTTTTGAAATATATGTTTATTTGAGCCATCTACTATTTATTATTACTATATAACAATTATTTGGCGACGAGGAAAATAATTGAACAGATATTTTAAAGAAATAAACATTTTAATAGTTCAAAATGTCTAGAAATGAAGATAGTGCCATGGTTTATAACCAATGGGTTATACCAACCAATTATTAACGTAGTAAATACGGGCGGTGTATCTTCATTGGCCATTTTTAAACAGGGTGACGATTTTGAAGTTTTTGAGGAACGTTTAGAACAGTATTTTGGTGCAAATTTAATTGAGGAATCTAGAAGAGTTGCTGTTTTAATTACATTACTAAGTGAGGAGGTTTATAAAGTTTTAAGAGACCTGTGTAACCCAGAGAAGCCCAAGGAGAAAGATTTTGAAACACTAATGAAACATTTAAGTACCCATTTTAAGCCTAGATTGTCAGTGTACCGAAGGAGGATAATTTTTGACCTATTAACAAGGTTTGACCTGATTGGTATCTGAAAATTAAAAACCAGGCAGCACAATGAGATTTTGGGGACAAATTGTTATACCGGGTCCAGGATAAGTTTGTGGTAGGCATGAGGCCAGGTCCAATACTAGATAGGCTTTGTGAAGAAAGTCCTTCAAGAAGTTTGCAAGATTTTTTGGAAATTGCTTTGAATAAGGAAGCAGCATTAAGGGAACAAGGTAACAGAGTGGAGGTTAATAGATTTCAACAAATTAAAGAAATGGAACCCAGAGGAGAAAGGAAAGAAAATAGTGGAGAATCAGAAGAGAAGGCAGAGGTAAAGTATAATTACTGTAATAAACCAAATCGGGAAAAACATTCTCTAAAACGATCTATAGTAGCTTCTGTATCAGAAGAACTCATTATGAAAGCTTCAGGCCACGTCGAAAAAGAATCAATAATTATGAGTATCATATTAATGCACCTCGACCCAAAAATTTAACAGAAGTTCGTGCTTTTGCTGGGATGATAAACTATGATTCACGTTTTATTCAAAATTTGCAAGGAATTTTGAAGCCCCTATACAATTTAATTAGTAAAGGTACAGAATTTAAGTGGACAAAAGAATGTGAAACAGCTTTTGAAATGGCAAAAAAAGAATTAGTTTCAGACAAATTGTTGGTTCACTATGATCCTCAGAAACCTATTCGTTTAGCTTGTGATGCTAGTGAATATGGTATTGGAGCAGTTCTGATGCATGTAATGGCTGATGGTTCGGAGAGGCCAATTTATTATATTTCTCGTGTATTGACTAAGAATGAGCAAGGTTACTCAATGATAATGAAAGAAGCATTAGCTGTATATTGGTCTGTTTCTAAACTCTACCAATATTTAGCTGGTCAGAAATTTGAAATTTCAAGTGACCATAAGCTTCTGCAAGCTATCTTTGGAGAGCATAAAAGCTTACCAAAAATGGCTGCTGGGCGTATTCAACGTTGGTCATTGTTTTTAGCTGGTTTTAATTATACTTTTCGCTTTATTAAAGGTGTCGATAACTCTAAAGCTGATGCTCTATCAAGGTTACCTTTACCTGTAGGTGAAGATGAAATTGAAACAGATTTAAATTTTGAATATATCAATTTAGTGGAAAACTTACTACCAGTTGATTCAAATTTATTACGTTCTGAAACAAGAAAAGATGTAGTTTTAGGTGGTGTGTATAATTTAATTAGATATGGGTTTCCTAAACATATTGAAAATTTAATTCTTAAGCCTTTCTTAGCTAGAAAGAATGAACTCTCAATAGAAAAGGGTATTATTATGTGGGGTTATCGAGCAGTCATTCCCACTAGCCTCAGACAACAATTGCTTGAGGAACTTCATAGTAATCATGAAGGGATAATTAAAATGAAATCAAATGCACGTACATACTTCTGGTGGCCTAACCTAGATTCTGATATAGAACAAAGAGTAAATGGTTGTAAAGTCTGTGGACATCTAAAACCAGAGCCCATCAAAGCTAAATTAATCAAAACTCAATTATCTACTTATTTTTATGAAAGAATTCATGCTGATTTTATGGGACCTATAAAGGGGAAAATGATACTCATAATTATTGATTCTTTTTCGAAGTGGCCTGAAGCTTTCATAATGAGTTCTACTGATACAGAAGCTACTATAGAC